CAAAATTCTATACAAGACTGATACGTTTAAAAAAAAAAAAAAAAAAAAACCAATATGCATTTTGTTTTTGCAGGCTTATCATCGACTATTTTATGATAGTGGCGTTGTTCATTGAAAAACAAGACGTTTGGTCAAAAAGCACTCATTCCCCTCAGCAAAACCATATTTATAAAAGTATGCAAAGAAGACACAGGAAAGTTCGTCAGTTCATTCCTGCAGTAATATAACATCAACATTGTCATGAACTCCTTGCAGTAAGAGCTCGCCCTGAAACGTGATGACCTTCTTTCGCTTGGCTGCTTTCAGTGTTCCAACGAGTGCCTCGAAGAGGTTGGCACACTTGTCATCGTTGAATAGGACACCGAATTTGACACTGATTTTACCATCTGCATCTGTAAAAGAGGAGGAGTGGTTATTGTATTAGAATGATGTAAAGCCGAGTTCACCAAAGTTTTCATCATAATCGCAATGAACAATCCATTATATGTGTATCAGAAGCGCTAGTAGTAGTAAATAGAGATCAGTGCTTAATACTGTCCACATTAATTCTGGAATTATCAATATCCGTGTGTTGTGGATTCTGACCGAGAACTGGTCAGCTACATTAAATGGAATGATTTATATTATATATAATATATTTATAATATATAAATTTTCTTAGTTTTACAGTTGTACCAACCAAGCAGACGTCTCTTAAAGAAGCCTGATGCTTCTTGCATCAGAAGACACTGATGCAAGTAACAACGGCTATGATGTTTCCACCAGTAGACCCAAAACAAGTGAAAGGAAGAACAGAAAAAGCCTCCGATAACCACAAGGGCTAGAGTTTGTGCTACTGCTCAGAGCTGCTACAACGACTTGTCAAAATACATTGTCAATTAAGTACAAAGTTATACAAGTAACTGTCAATAAAACAGGTGAAATATGAAGAAGGATTACTGTTGGAAAAAGATATTACAGTACAAGTTCTGCACAATCATTGTGATGAAAAGTGGTATCAGTTGTGTAAACACTGTAGGTATTTCTTGAGGGAACAC